TGGCTTCAACTCACACTGGGTGCATGTGCATGCATGCCCAAGATCTCAAGAGGAGAATGGAGTAGAAGGTATTGCTGTGTGTCCATACCCCCTAGGGGGTGATTTCTCGCTTTCTGTCTCTCTGTCTCTCTCTGTCTTTCTGGCAAGCACACGCGCACTATAGCAAAAAAACAAACAAACAAAAAAAACCTCTCCAACAACAAAAAAACCCTGAAAAATGGTTCACTGTTGCATAGAATAAGAGACGATAATGCCAAATTTCTGTAGAATGGTCGACTCTGAGTTCTTTTCCTGTAGTTGTAAGAGGATCTGCTTTGATGATTGATCTCAATTGGTCATTGTCAATTTTTGGTGACCAGCCACTACACTCCTCATCATTAAGGTTCTCATCTCCTTTGCAAAATATCTAGCCACCCTGTGTTGCATGTTCTTTAGGAGTTCCTGGGACAATGCGTTGATGTTTCGAGTTGTCTCTGCTGCATTAAGAACCATTTCAAACTCGAATAAGAAAATCACTCAAATTTGCTTTTTGTCTAAGATCATTTCCATAGTCTAAAATACATATAAAATAAAAAATAATAAGTCATTAGCAAAAAAGCATGAAGTGAGACTTGCACATTAAGATGAGATGTAACCTAACCACATTTATTTAAAAATGTATCCAATATTAAATGGTAAATTTCAACAACACAAAGTAGCAATTACTTATGCACCAAGATAACATAAGCTGTTAGTAGAAAATGTATGAGCTCTTTGAGTGGCACAGGGAGGGAACCTACAAGAGAATGAACCAGAGATTTCATTCTCATCATTCTCAATACATTACAGTGCCGGGAGCCGTACCCCAGCCGGGGTGGGTGCACAGGGAGGCGACGCGGGTGAACAGGAATCAGACTAAGACCTCATGCCCTTAGCATGTTCTTAGCCGGCTACAGCCAGAGTAAACTCCAGACTGCAGCCCTGATGGCCAGAAGTCATGCGTATTTATTATAGAAGGAGTTTTACAGCAGTGGGATGGGTGAGGGGAAGTAAGTGAAACATTTTGCTCTAAAAGTTAAGGCATTCAAAGTATAGGAACAATAATCATAAAACATGACGACGTCTGTTTTGTTTAGGTATAAACAGTCATTATTTTTAGAACGAGGTAGTCCATTTTTTGGGTGCATCTTCTTCTCAGATCTTGATTACCAGGGAGGGTCTTTGGATGAGAGGGTTTCCAGGAATTTTCAGTCCCAGACCAGCTTGATTACTTTAGTCCCAGATTGGCTTGAGAATTTTGAGCCTCGGGTCAGCTTTTGAGAACTTCAGCTTCAGGCTAGGGTGGCAGTAATTACAAGAGCCTAGAAATAAATTCTGTCTGGTTTAATAAAGACAAAGTTAGTATATACTAAAGTGAAATACTTATGTTATCTCTGGGGTAGTCTACAGCTAAGAGGGTGAGTCTACATAGGAAAGGAATGTGGTCTTGTGAGTAGCTAAAGGTTACAGTGTACTTGGGACTCTCTACA